CTTGTGTCCTTCTGCTCAAGATTCAAATTCTAGGGAGCTAGTTTGATTAGCCAAGCTTGGATCTCATGACCACTACTTGAAGTGGGGGAAGTCTCATGAATGCTGCCAGTCCCACAATTAAATGGGGGAGTGGAAGTTTCTCAAAGGAAAATACAGTTGTTCTTACCAGGAAAAAGGGAAATGGATGCTGGGCAGGCAAGTCAGCAAATGTCCATCACACCACAAAAATGTGGTGATTAAATATGGAGAGATAGAGACTAACAGAGATACCTGAATATTGAAGTATATCTAGACAACAGCCCAATGATACCAATAAAAGAGCCATTAAAATCTGGTTTTGAGTCACAGATCTAAATAGAGCCATTGAATGCCAATTTTTCTTTGATATGTTTCCAGCACTGCCCAAAATCTGAGTGGTATGTGAAGAACTGGTCCATTAAGCATCTCTTTCCAGTCAGCATTACCCACCTCCCACTCTATCCTCCTACCCATTCTCCCCTGGCCAGTCTTACTCTCTTCCTTTTTTTTTTTTTAATCAAAATCTGAACCCCGAGGCTGTTTCTTTAGTAACCTCTTTAAGTTGGAAAATCAATCAAACACCATAGGACTTCAACATTTAACAAATGGTGACTTAACTTTTTAAAATCCAAAGTCAAGCCTCTTTATTAGATGTAGAAAGACCAAAAAAAAAAAAAAAAAAGGAAAAATGCTCCTTGAAGCTGTCTTCTGAATGCTCTCTTAGGCAGACTTGCTCTACCTCCTTTAAAGAAACTTCTTCTTGGTAGACACTGTCAAGATGAAAGATGGTTCTTCACTTCCACTCAAAGTACAAATCAGCCAGCATTTTGAAAAAGTCAGGCTTATTCATCATTTCAGCATTATCTGGCTTTTGTTCCCTGTAAATTTTCACTTTTGGTTATTAAAATATTCACTGTAGGAAACAAATTTGTAACCCATTTCTCATATTACCTACATACAAAAAAACAAAATTTGATATCCTGGGGTTTATTTGCTGAGGGCGCTTCCCATAAAAGCGAGTGACTATGCACTGGGAAATTAGTCTGGTTAACTCCTTATGGATAAATGTTAGTCACAATCGTTCCACCCCTCCACCCCCAACTCTCGCCCCCAGCACTCTCCCCACCGCTCGACTTCCCGCCTCTCCAGGGCTGGTGACCTAATAGCATTTTTCTTCATGCATATTTTGGCGTCGCCCCATGGCCTGGCTGCCTTTGCCTGTCTGAGTCTTTTGAAATTCCTGCATGTTCGCCCCAGATTAAGCCGAGTGTGTCTCAGGATGTGTGTTCCGTTTTGTTCTTTCCCCTTAACGCTCCCTGTGCAACGTGTCTGGGGGGAGGAGGAGGACAGGACAGGGAGGGAAGGGAGGGGCAGAGGCGAGGAGCTGTCCCCCTTGCACGTTTCCAATCGCATTACGTGAACAAATAGCGGAGGGGTGGCCGGGCCAGAACGGCTTGTGTAACTTTGCAAACGTGCCAGAAAGTTTAAAATCTCTCCTTCCTTCGCTCCAGACACTGCCGCTCGCCGGGGCCGCCGCGCCGCTCTCCGTCGCCTTCCAGGACCGGGAAAGAGGCGAGAGGCGAGTGCCACGTCCCAGCAGCCGCTTTCACTGGAGAAAGGTCTGCAGCCCACCCTTGGCACTGCTTGGTGGGGACTAAGATACCCGCGCTCTGCCCGCCTCCCTGGTTGAAGACGTCTCTCTCCCTCACGTGATTTGAGCCCCGTTTTTCTTTTCCCCGATCTACGTCCTCCGGGAGTGGGGACGATCCGGCAAAGGGAGCGATGCGCTTCGCCTGGACCGCGCTCCTGCTCGGGCCACTGCAGCTCTGCACGCTCCTGCACTGCGCCCCACCGTCCACCAGCCAGCAACAGCCCCCGCGGGAGCCGCCGGCGGCTCCGGGTACCTGGAGCCAGAAAATCCAATGGGAGAACAACGGGCAGGTGTTCAGCCTTCTGAGCCTGGGCTCGCAGTACCAACCGCAGCGCCGACGGGACCCAGGCGTCACCGCCCCGGGCGCCGCCAACGCCTCCGCCCCGCAGCCGCGCACGCCGATCCTGCTGCTCCGCAACAACCGCACAGCAGCGACTCGGGCGCGGAACACTGGGCCATCGGGAGCCACCACCGGTCGCCCCAGGCCCACCGCCCGCCACTGGTTCCAAGCTGGCTACTTGTCCGGGGCCAGCGACGCTGACGGCTCCCGCGCTAATAACCGGACAGAGCCGGCGGAGCGCCCGGCACTCAGTAACCTCAGGCCGCCCAGTCGCGTGGATGGCATGGTGGGCGACGACCCGTACAACCCTTATAAGTACTCTGACGACAACCCCTATTACAACTACTACGACACGTACGAAAGGCCCCGGCCTGGGAGCAGGTACCGGCCCGGATATGGCACCGGCTACTTCCAGTACGGTAAGCACCCCAAGTCGCTGGAAGCACTCGCATACTCCTTCCCCAACGTGGCTGGTGGCTCCCCGACGTGGCTGCCTGGGCGCGGCAGGCCCTAGTCCCCGCAGATCCGATCCCTCCCCCTGTGCCTGCAGAGGCAGCCCTGGAATCTGGTGCAAACCGCGCGCCTGGCCCCTCCTGCTTCCTTTCCACTTTGCTTTGCAGCCCGGGGCGTCCCCCGTTCTCCTGCTACCCGCAGCCCGACACCAACACCGAAGTCCAGTTGGGCGAACGATGATGCGTAAGGGACACGGAGGGAACCGGAGCCCGGGTAGGGGGCGCTGGGTTGTCTCACTGCTATGCCCATCGCCTGCTGACGTTTAGGTCTCCCGGACCTGGTGCCCGACCCCTACTACATCCAGGCGTCCACGTACGTGCAAAAGATGTCCATGTACAACCTGAGATGCGCTGCGGAGGAAAACTGCTTGGCCAGGTACGGGCTGGGATTTCCGCTGCCTGGCTCTCCAGTCTTGGTTCCTGGGGCCGACTCTGTACCTGGTTTTAACCACTCTTGCTCTGTGCAGACAAGAGTCGGAAAGTGGGACAAGAGCTGGGAAACAGGACTTGATCTCCTGGGCATGCTGACCTGGATGGAGAGTTAACATTCTGAAGATTTCTGTGGGTTCTAGCTTTCAAACTGCAGCACAAATCAGGGAGATGGAGCAAACCCTTTTCCCGGAGAGTTGGGGGTGGGGTCTCCTGTTCTTTTTCCAAGATCCTTAAACTCTGGAGACGACTGTTTCCAATCATTTTCTAATAGACAACTATACGATAACGTGGGGCGGGTGGTGGTGGTGGGGGGAGGGAAATGCAGTGGAAGAGCTTGTTAATACCCCCTTAAAAGATTGGAGGCAAATTTGCCAGCGTGGAACCCCCATTGGCAAAAGTTAAGTTTTCTTCTGTTTGAAACTGCAATTAACTTAGTTGTTTTGGTATTACTTCAGCCAGAATAAGAGCATAAGCAAGAGCTTTGTTTTTCCATCAGTCCTAAAATAAAATCATAGCAATTTGGGGAACGGAGCTTGCTGCTGAGAAACCAGCAGAGGGAGCAAAAGATGTTTTGATAGGTCTCATAAAACTTTTTATAGTGTAAAATAAGGTCATCAATAGTATCTGAATATATATTCACACAAAATACATTAGAAGGAACATAGTAATGTTTATTTGTGTATTTCTTCTACTTTGACCCTTGATAACTGTCAGGCTAAAGGAAGAGAAGCTCATCATTTTCATTCTTGAGTCTTGCATCACTCACATCATTGCCCCGCCTATGATATTATTATAGTAATGTTATTGTTTTGAAGATAGCGAAGTTATAAAATTATTTATCGAAACTGGGTTTACTCTTTTAGTTATTTTGCCACCTCATATCTTAGTTAATTGTTAAAGAAGAAATGTATTGTTAAATTCAAAGTTCTTAAGTAAATGTGGATGATTTTTTATTTGGGATAATTTCGAGCTCAGTTTCACTCATTCATATGATTAAACTTGAATCAATTATAAATACAAATTTACTTATCACATGTAAATTCTTAATGCTAATTTTATTACGTTTTTAACTTTTAAACTGTAGATTTCCATAGTTGTCATTCATTCACCCATTTGACAAATAGTCACTGAGGTCTACTTGCCAGGCACTGTTCTAGGATCTGGAGATTCAGCAATGAACAAAATAAGCAAAATGCCCTGGTCTCTTGGAACAAAATAAGCAAAATGCCCTGGTCTCTTGGGGTAGAGGGGCTGTTGCCATTAAAAATGAAGATTTTGCTTGTACGTTTGTCTTTAGTTATTATTCTATGAAAATGATGTTTTTGTTTTGTTTTGTTTTTGTTGTTGTTTTTCCAAAATCACAGCACAGCGTACAGGGGAGATGTCAGAGATTATGATCACAGGGTGCTGCTAAGATTTCCCCAAAGAGTGAAAAACCAAGGGACATCTGATTTCTTACCAAGTCGACCAAGATATTCCTGGGAATGGCACAGTTGTCATCAGTAAGTGCATGGGCTTCCTGGATACTTCTGAGTTACTTTTTCATTCTTCAGATGATTCTTACACAAAGGGAGAAAATTACTTAATATTTATATTTAGAATTTGACATAATCAATGGTGTCTATCTCTAAGATAATTACATCAATTACTAGATCTTGTTGTTATCCTTTAAATTAGAAGCTCTAAATCTAATTTATTAAACTTTTACTTCAATTTACTACAAGTAAGATTTCTAAAAAAAGCCTATTGCTGCCAAGGGCATCTACAGTTAGCATTTAATAAAGATCACAAATTTTTATCAAAAAGATTCGGATACCATTCTCAAAGAGAGATGTAGATGAAATACTCCATGAGCTGAGAAGTACTTATCTCTATCTTTTAAAAGACCTGCATTGACTTTGCCTGTTCTGTCCTAAATTTAAAGATTTTCACATTAGATAATTCTATAATTTGCCTTAATAAGTTGCCCAAGTGTTTATTGCCAGGAAATCCTGATAGGTGTCCTTATATTTTCTTTAAGTTGAGCCATTTCTTCTTGTTCTTTCCTTAATGGGAGATGAACAGCTCAGAACTTGCTCTTTAATCAAATGAAACAATAGAAATGAGCACCAAATTTTCTGATAAAATAAAATTATTTCTAAATAAAAGTTTAAACTAGTTAAATAATAATGGTGGATAAAATATGCCATTTTTCACTTTTACATTTTAGTAATGATTTTAAATCTATGAGAACTCAGTGTTTTGAAATCTCATAGAAACCTCCTCTTTTTTTTGAATGAAACATTAGTAGTGGTAAGAGAAAATATACTAGAGAGCATACGGCAAGTTTTACTTAAACACAGATAAAGTTTTGTCTGTTCCTATTTAATATTCAAAGATAAAATCAGGTAGTAACGGAAAGGTAAAATGCTCAAAATAAGTCTTTTTTTTCCCCCAGTAGCAAAGTTAAAAGCCTACAATTTTGATAGATTTCTATCTCTGGCGAGGAAAAAAAATCTAGCATGAATCTGGCTTTAAGACGATAAACTTGATCTCAATTTTAATGTGCAAACAAATGTAAGGAAGCAAGGAGTCATCTGAAATCCTCATTGCTTTTTCTCTGTATGTTACTGACCACTCTCTCTGTGTTGTGTGGCATATCAGACATTACCACAGCATGGATGAATTCAGCCACTATGATCTACTTGATGCCAACACCCAGAGGAGAGTGGCTGAAGGCCACAAAGCAAGTTTCTGTCTTGAAGACACATCCTGTGACTATGGCTACCACAGGCGATTTGCATGTACTGCACACACACAGGTAGGTTGGCATCATAAAATCAGGAAACTGCAGCCTTCAGAGAGAAAACAAAGTGGTATTCTATTTTCTTCCTTCCTGCCTGTCTTTTACAAACTCTTTCATTGAGGGGGTCATCCAGTCAAGATGGGAAATAACTGAGAAAAGAAAAGTCATGGCTTCATGATCCAAATTACTTTTAAAGTATTTCACCCTCAGAGTGGGTCACTGCACATACTCATGTTCCACAATAAAAATTAGCAGCACTTTACTCTCTGAACAAATCTGAATGGTTTCCAATATCTGCTTTCATTCTGTATTCCTTAACAGGCTTGGTAAGTAACTATATAAAGAGATACCTCTGTTTTCTCACCTGCAAAACCATTCTTCCCTCCACCTATTAAGCTAAAAATAGAATGGTAATTGGGGTTAGTTAGCAAAAGGAGAGAAAATAAGTTTCTTAAAAAGCACTTTGAAAATCTGTCTCTTTTAATCATGCAAGTACAAGCAAAAGGACACAATTTCTTTCTCCACACATATATATTTAAACCTACAGTATAATTGATGTCAGATGTACTCTGGATGGATTTTTCAAAATCGTGCTGAGCTAAGCAGTTTGTAGGCTTTATAGTGGGAAAATCTGTGTCAGTTAAAAGCCATGCCAGTATTTCCACAAGAAACTCTAATTTGTAAAAGGACATTATAATTTTACTCCAGCCAAAATCTTGGCAAGGAGTAGTGAATGTATATAACTCAAGGCACAAAAGGATCAGCAGCTGGCATCTGGGAAGCAAATTCCAGGGCTGTGGCAGGAAGCTTTTTGGTGACCTAAATGTTACCATTGCTTCTTTTTCTGAGCTTAAAATGTCATAGCAGTTGAAGGAGGAAAAGGTTCAATTCCATATGCCTAGGGGCAGCACTATTCTTTCAGCAAAAGAAGCTGTAACCTACCCACACATCACTCACATGTGCATACAAAGATTCCCTTTTCACTCGGTGACCGGCAGGTCTCACAGCACTCAATTGTACAGGAGACCTAGAGTTTATTCTCTTCACTTAGAAAAAGAGGCACTCTGGACAGCTCACTGCTGAAATATTTGAATCTAAGACTATAGGTATTTATAGTATTTCTAGTCCCCCAATTCCTGAGGATGACCACACTTCATTTTATGTGGTGGCTTTCCTGTTAATCACCCTCTGTTTATGTCCTATTTAACTATTATTCACTAGGTCTTGCATTACAAGTGATTTCTGTATTTGTGGTTTTCACTAGACTGGCATTTCATTTTAAGGAAAAAGTAATTCTCACAAAGCCCTAATGTTGACTTAGATAGTTGTATTATAATGTTTAAATGTATCCAAATATAAAGCTAAAATAACTTCTTTATATTTATACTTTCACAGAATTCAAGTTCTTAGATAACAAATTTATATATTAAATATATATGAAACTAGAAACTGTCACATTAACCTCATTAATTTAATGTAATAAATAGCTATGTTTTGCTAAAACCAAACAGCAATTTAGACGGCCTCAGCTCAGGTTCCACATTTAATCCGTTTTAAAGTTTGACTTTGAATACATGAAATACCTGTTTGCTTAATGACCTTAAAATCTCCCATTTTTTTGTTATCTAGTTCAAATAATAAAAGCTCTGCCAGTTATCTAGAGTGCCAATTTCAGCATTTCTTTAAAGCTCTTTTGTTCACCCGAAAGTAAGATAAACATCGTAACATTATTAAAGCCTGTCTTAAGTAGGTATCTAATCCAACGACTCCCTTATAATGCCGTGAATGTAGTGGTAGCAATAGTAGCAGAAGCAACGATAATAAGAGCTAACACTTATGGAGTATTTCTTACGTGCCAGAATTAGAATTATGTGCTGGAATAAGAAACCAAAAAGTCTTCATTATAGGTTTACTTCTCAATATATGGTTAAGGAACAACTGCAAGCTGATATGAACCAAGGTGGCTATATGGTTCTCCCTGCCATCACATGGGTACTTTTGAGTGTGGCCTGTCTACACTATTATGTGCTGTGTGAGAGCACAGTTCTCCCCGATTCTTCCCAAATCAAGCTATAGCCACATACACATTGGTAGAACATGCTTAGATAATTTTGCCGTCTCTTTGGGTAATTTTGGGTGCTGAAATTAAATGGCAGTTTTGAGAAAATGATTCTAGCATATGCTTTTTAATTTACTTTAGATTACTGTTAGAATAAAATACAACAATAAACGTTCTCATGAAGAACTAATAAGAGTCAAGAATACATACAGACTTCGATTTGAATAAACTTCTCCAGACTATAACTTTCTGGAGAGCAAGGACCATATCTCATTGAAGTGAATAACTTAGCAAGTAGAAGGATGTAGAATTTATTCACCGAGGCATATATTCATCCCTTTAATTCAACAAAATATTTTAATGACTGTGCGAGAGAGAGTATAGTGTGTAGTGTGGTGGTGAAGAACAGAGACCCTAAACCCAACTGCCTGAACTCTAAACCCGCTCAGCTACTTACAAGCTATGAATCCTTCAGTGCCTCACATTCCCCATCTGTAAAATGGGCATGATATTAGCACCTGCCTCATATAGTTGTGAGAACTGAATTTATATATGTAACATGTTTAAAACTGTTCCTGGCGCATAGTATATACTTACTAAATGTTAGCTATTTAAAAATGCAACCACAGACCCTAACCTTAGGGAGCTTACAACCTTTAATTAGGTATGTTTTTATATAGTATGATTATAATGCAGAACAGAAAAGGATACATATTATAAAAGCTTTAGACACAAAAAAGTTATCATGGGAAAAGTACAGGAAGATAATTTCCAGAAGAGGAAGTTGGAGAGGGTTAAATTGAAAAGAGGACATTTGAGCTAAATTGATTATTTTATGGCCTTTATTCCTGAACTGGTGATAGTCTAGAATTTTGGTGAAGTCCTAGTTTGTCACTTAAGATTGTATTTGTCACTGGTGATTTATGACACTTTTAAAAAGCTAGATGTATACTACCTATATTAGTCCTGTATTTTTTTTAGCAGGAGGCACTATAAGGCTAATATTGCATCTCAAGGGAGATGCAATAGTTTTATGTCAAACTCTTGTAAGTACTAACTAACTTAAAACTTAATTTCCACATAATAAGCATATTCTTTAGCATACTCTATTCATATACCATCTTTTAATTTTTAAATTTTGTTTTAGGGGTTGAGTCCCGGCTGTTATGATACTTATAATGCAGACATAGACTGCCAATGGATTGATATTACAGATGTACAACCTGGAAACTACATTCTAAAGGTAGAGACCTTTGAAAATAATGTACTTGCAATTTATTTTTATCGCAATTCAATAGAGCTCCTCCTCTGGATTCAAATGTTAACTAATCACTATCCCAAAAGCAATTATATATCTCCTAGAACAGTTTCTAAATGAACCTAGATATATAAAAACATTTATTTTAAAGAACTTCAGGGAAAAATATACAGTCTCCTCCTAAAACTTCTTCAGAGTTTAACCACTTTCCTAACTTAACCCTCCTCCCTGCTTGAATTAACTGAAGCATGCTAGTTAGCCTTGTGAGAATAGGAAATTAACCAGTAAACACTGCTGATAAAATCACCGGTAAACATGGTGATGTCTGTGTTGCCCAGGTCAGTGTGAACCCCAGCTACTTGGTGCCTGAATCGGACTATTCCAACAACGTTGTACGCTGTGACATTCGCTACACAGGACATCATGCGTATGCCTCGGGCTGCACGATTTCACCGTGAGTCTTATTTGCCTAGCTAAATAATACTGTCATCACAAAGCATTTCAGTTCATCAACAGGCATTACACATGACATGCTTGTTGCTGCTACTTCTGTAGCTTTCTTATAAACTAGACCAAAGGTAGAAAATGGTAGAGTCTGCACTATCACATAGTTAGAACTGATCTTTTTTTTTTGATAATGCTAGAGAAAGGGGGTTGTACTCGTTTTTATCATCCTAAAGCTTAGTTTTGAAGACAAGACATACACACAGAACACCATTGTCTATGCAAAAAGCTTATGTGGAGGCTGAATATGTAAAATATGCAATACGCAGTGTGGGTGACCTTGTGGGAGCCCAAACAGTGGGGTTTCCTGCTCCTGCCACACAGTCCATGAAGGAGCTCTGAAGAAATTCCTGGAGTTCTTTAAAGTACATTCTGAAAAATCACTGCCTAAAGTATGCCACTGAAGACATCGGACTGTCTGTTCTGAAGAAATCGAGAGTTCACATATTTAAGTTCCAGAACAAGTACTAGGAAAACAGCCCGCAAAAAGAGGGACGCTTTCATAATTTCCTTAGTCCCGAAACCCTTCTTTGAATGAAATCTTAGATAGAACCTCAGCACATAAATATTAACGGGGATGTTGTGATGATGAAAATAACTAAAGAAAGCTGGGTAGATTTGTTGTCTGTGTCTCACCCTGACGCCTAAGCACCACCTGCTATAGTGTTGCTGAGATACTGATCCTAACTACAGATGCCACCTGTGAGTGACACCTTCCTAACAATGAGAATGCCATTAAAATGATACTGAACACGCATCAGCTTTGCCTTGATGTTGGAGAGGCACTGGCAGGTGACTCTAGGTCACACAATAAGGTGTAAAAGATACACAAGAAACTAATAGAAATTTCCCTCTGATATACAAACCAGGACAATGGTTGGCCACACCATGAACCTGTTATAGTTTGTGGCCATTCCCAAGTCCACCTATACCTGGGCTCTTGGACGGGGAGAAAATGAAGCCCGTGATCCATTCACAGAGCCATGTACTGTGGATTGGACTGCATTCACCTTGGAGGGGTGTTTTTTCCTTATTCGCATACAGGACCAAAGCCTGTGCTTTACAAGCGTCAACACAGCATCAGATGTAGATGAAGCTTATGACAGTGAGGTCCATCACTGAAAAAAAAGATAATTAAATATAGTCTTCTGAATATGCCCACAATATAGAAAACCTGGCCGGGTTTATGGCCCATATTGTATAGAACTGATCAGAGTATAACTGCGAATCCCCAGAACATCAGTGTTGTTTGAGCTAAAATAAAAATATATGGATTAATTATTTTTTCTTAATTTTTGTAATTTCTTAATTTATTCATTCATTCCCTATTCATTTATTCAGTGGCACTCTCACATTTGCACTATGTATTTATTCAGGTCTTACACGACACTAGATATTAGAGTAAGACAAAGATAAATATGATTCCTGATCCTGTATTGCTCCCTTATAGTCTTATTATAGTAATCCTAATTAATTACTCATGAATCTCTCTGTTTAATGTTTGTCTTCTGCTCCACTCTGTCATGGCTGGGACATAGTCTCTTGTCTATAGTCTCTTGTCTACCACTGTACAAACACTGCCGGGTGTAGGTATGCTACCATGTAGCCTCTCATTCTATACTTGATTAAGATAAATTATCTTCTCTTTAGGAATTTAGAATTTGGTACTGAGAGCGTGAAATACGCACATAACTGTGATAGATACAATATGAAAACTTCTATGAGGAGTAAGATAAAATGCAGTAGACCAGAAGGGCCTCTGCTATAATAAGCCAAGAGACTCCCAGGTACAACTGCTGACCTTCCTCTAGAAGTAGGTCTGGATAGGAGAAGTGACTCAACTCTATTGTTGTATAGTATGTGTCTGGCTTTTCATCAGTAGAATCCATTGGATTGGATATTGCCAGATATTTAGAGCAAATAAAAATTGTTATATTGCTCCAGCCTAGAGTTTTTTTTAACCAGTTGTCATTGACTATAACTAAACTGCAAGAATAGTTGAGGTAGAATTTTAATAATAAACACTGATTAGATGATATGCGAAAAAGTTTAATGATCCATAGTTAGTGATTCATACTAAAATAAGATCATATTTACCTATGAGTGGAAAATAATGGGAGATGTGCAGAAACCTTGACCTGAGAAAGAAAACTTTATCTTCAGCAGAAAGATGATTGCTTCTTATATTTTGACTTTCACTTCTGGCCTCCCTTGCTAGGGATCAGAGTTCAGAGAAAAGGGAAATTTCCTTTGGCTGAGAATCAGGAGTGGCTTTAGGATAGTATATTAATTGCACTGTGATGGCTGAGGAGGACTGCACTGGGGAGAGTTAAGAGCATGTCGGGAGGAGTCAGCATCACTGGCACCTATGGCAGAAAGAAACTGTAGGACATGTTTGGAAAAGCAAGTGTTTTCGTTTGGCTAAAGCACGTTTCATGGAGTTAAGAGTAAGGCAAAAGGATGGAAAAGTAAGTCGGGACCAGATCAGAGAGCACTGAAGCACAAGCTAAAGTGTCAGAACTTCATTTTGGAGACCATGCAGTCTTTATTTTCTTGAGCAGTGAGTGTAACTTGTCTAATGCTATGTGGTCAGTCTGGTGACTGACTATATGCAGCAATATGTGAGTCCTTTGGTAATGCTATCATACTTTTTTTTTTAACTCTTAAAAACATATAACCTCTCAGTTTACTGATTGTTTTTCACACTAATTGAATATTTGAGAGCACTCCATTGGTGTGAACAAACCATCCAGTAAGAAAGTGTGCCTTTAATGTATCCTCTTCTCCCTCATTTTCCTCATTGTAAACAAAACATATGGTCCGAGTGACTCTATGGCCCAAGTCAGTTCTAGGACACTACAATTAAGTCCTCTTCTCACAGAAATTACTATTTGGAAATTGATGGTTTATGATTTGGACTAAGTCCATTCTTATTTCCTTTACCTGGGGATCTGTGATCACAATATAAATACGCCAATATTTTATTTATTGGCTTTGACCCAGTGTCTTGTCCATTAATGCCTCATTCTACATTTAAAACCATGCTGAAAAGCGACTAATGCAGAACAGTGAAGAGGCCATGACCCTGCTTCCTGGTGCACACGCCATACTTGTTCCATGGAGTGAACTCAACTGGGCCGAGTTGCTGGTCCGATAAGTCCTCCTTTACTCTTGATTGTTTCAGAGGGTGTTTATTTCAACTATAAACATCAAGTCTGTAGACATCAGGCATACACTCTCTGTCACTGATATAGCTACTTTCTGCAAACCAGTATTAAAATTAAATATTAATGGATAATTTCAGAAGGTAACTGTTGCTTATGTGGAGGGAAATTGATACCTCAATTTTCTAAAAGGTTGACTTCAAACTTGTCTACTATACTCATTTATAATGTTATCAGATTAATAAATTGTTTCATTTTGTTTCTTAATATAGGTATTAAAAAGCAAGCCAAGACTTCCAATGGACAATACAGTGCCTGGTGTTCTGAAGTGGGGGAAAAAAATAGATTAACTTCGGTAGGATTTATGAATTTTGGAAAAGATAACAGAAGAAAACAGGAATTTTCGTTTGAACTGTTCTATAACAAAGCACATAACTGGATTTTGAACATTTAAATTGGCATTATTTGGAAAATTTTTAATATTATTCACATTATTTTGTGAATTGACATGATGTTTCACTTCTGTAGTTGCACACTTGGCTCTTTTAAAGAAATCCAAGTTTTGTTATGCTCTTTTTGAAGTTGTAGTACAAGAAGGGAAAATAATATTTCAATGAATGAGCCAAAATTATTTTTAACTGAGAATATGCTTAGTGCTGAAACTTCAGTGAACCACAATAACTGGCTTATATATGTCCTGGCATAGATTAATTTAGAAATGAGGCTCCTACTGTTTAAATAGATGTGGACACATTTGGTGCTGAGGAAGGAACAAATATATTACCATTGGTGTCAAGAAATATTTCTATATAGCAGAGAAATGGCAATATATGTATTCAGATAGTTACACCCCTATATAAAATTTATGTTTACATTTTTAAATTAGTAGATAAACTCCTTTCTTTCTGTCAGGTGTACAATTTCATTCTGACTTAAGTCAGCTTTTGTTTTGGAATGAATTAAGTAATTAAGCTGCCCAACTCCTGTCTAACATTGGTTGATGTTCCATCTATGCTTTAATTTTCCTACGGGCAGAGACTTTTTAAGTGGCATTCTTAAAATTACCATTTTGGGGACTGGTATACATAGGACAACTGTGTCAATGGAAAGTTATTCTGGTGATAGATCTGATACATCCAGAGATAATATACATTTAAGTATATTGAAATATTAGCCAAAAACATTTCCTTAATGCCATAAAACAACAGTCATAAGTCCCTCAAACCACAACTGTCTTTCAAATACTTTAAAAAAATAACGAAAAACATCTTAGCATTTTCAACTTTTCTACATTATTTTTAATGTTCAGCTTTTAAAAGAGGAATGCTAAAAAAAATTTAAATTATCCAGAATAGACAACATAATATGTATGGGTATGAGAACCATATAGGAACCTGGATATAGATCATCCAGGAATCATTCATTCATGTTTTGTGTATATGTCCAAAAGATAATCCAAATTTGCAAAGCACATAGCATTACATACTTGAGGGGTTGGTGAAAAAGGGAAAAGAAAAAAAAAATCTTCCTGCAAAACCAAGGAATGTGCTGCATTATCAGACAGCTGTGATTTTATTTTAAACTGTGAAACCATGTGCCACAACAATTTGGAGAATTTCTCTTTTCCCTAGATTCGAAAGGTGCAGGAAGAAATTGAATTACACTTTTAAGTTAGTGGTGCTTAAGCAGAAGTTTTCCTACATTAACCAGTATTAAAATCTCAAGCAAGATATTTCAAGTGCCAGAACACGTTAGGAAGAATTTAAAAGTGAGTAGGCATCCCTGTAGTATATACATCATGGAGTTGTAAAATCAACACCAAATACTAATAATCATTCCACACTCATGGGTGCCGAGCATGGTAAGAGGGGCTAGAGATGGACAGTCATCAATGGGTAGATGACAGTGGGCCACATAAACCACATCTGCCAGGGCACACACTTACCAATAGAGAACACAGACAGCTTGATAGAGACCCTGAACTTTCATTTAGTAGTATCTGAGCTATGGAATAGCTACTTTGATGTACCCCTTTGCCTTAAATTGCTTTATAGTTTTAAGACTGTAGAATGATCCTTTCTTTCAAATTGTAATCTTTTCTAATAGAGATATTTTAACATATTTGCTTTTTAAACAACAGCAACAAAAAACTACTGTCAGTATTAATGCTGAGCCAGACTGGCATCTACAGATTTAAGATCAATTGTTTTCATCATGATTCTTACCCCTGCATTAGAAGCTAGCCAATATGCCTTTGGATATATATGAGAAGACATATTTACTATCATTCATTGGGCCTTCCATCTGTCTATCTATCCGTCATCATATGAGAGCCTAATATATAACAGTCACTCACAGCTAGGCATTTAGGATATAAAAAAGGTGATCTCTAACCTCAATTAAGTATTAAAAACAACATTATTATCCTTCAGGTTCCCTTTATTTCATTTTTAATGACTCTAAGTACATGTCTAAAAAATTTTATTTTAAGCATTATTGTTTTTCATGACCATATTTTATTTTAAAAATAAGTTAAAAATTAATAGCTATATGCATGTATGTGTTACTAATAATTAAAAATATGTTTCGAATCCCTGAAATGTCTGCCTTTTAAATATAACATGTATCATATGGTTGATTTTAGAAAAAGAAGAGTTTTAATTAGGATGCTAAAGATTCTCACTTATTCCTTATATAAACATTCTTCCCCCTCAATTACCCTTAAACACTCTCAAATAACTCACAAATATTGGTTTAACACTCAATATTTTTGAGCCTCAAGGGATCTCATCTCTGAATAACCACCAAAACTCACAGAAAATGACTAGCTGATAAAAGTTATCTACTCATAAATTAAAAAGCAATCCAGTCTTACCAAACTCTCAATAAAAAACAATTGAAAAGGAAGTGGAAATGATACAGAGAATGTTGAGTACAGAAAAAAGACTGACTTTTAAACTAATAAAGACTGTGAAAAAAATGGACTAAATAGGAAAATAATTTAGTAAGTCTTCCATATGCCATATTAGTGGCCTCAATCATTCAGACCACAGTCTGGATTAAAGATGTCTTGATAATGGAGGCTAGGATGCAATCTCCCAACAGTACCAGGGCATATGAATCCACAACTTATATTTTTAAAAAATAATTTTATTCACAATTTCTATCAGGTAAATTATTCACTAGGCATTATTTGTGATAATGAGTAATAATTTTTTTCTCTTCAAAACTTCATAGGATAATCACGCCCATAAATATTCCCAATATTCAGATTTTAGAGGAAATGCAGTTCACTAAAATTATCGTAGCACTAAGATTTCATCTTAGCAAATTGTATGCGAACACAGAATTTCTGGTTAGAAGATAACTTGTTTTAAAAATAACTTGTTCTGGTACTAACAGTGGAGTAACTGATAAGTAAAAATTCCCCCTTTTCTATATTTTTTATTTTTAGAACTCGTATTCACAATTAATATATTCAAACAACAACTATATTTAATTCCCGGCTACCAAAAGTCCTGGGCCATTTTTAAACACTTTAAAGCATTTCGTTTATCCTTTAAGTTAAAATGGTGCTGAATTATTTCAACTTGAATGTAAAATGTGTTGTCTTAGCTCACAGGATAGAAACATTTAATTAATATATAACTGCTTGCTACGAACTAAGTGACATATCATTTGGTATTGTAATGTTTTTAATGAAGTTTTAGTTTCTTCCAAATTTTTCAGGAATCCTATTTGTAAAACATTTGTAACTTTTTGAAGAGCTCCTATTTTAAATGCCCAGACACGGGCTTTATATTCTTCACACTCTCACATTCTTTTACTGTATGCCTATACTATGACTGCAAGATTATATAAAAACGCCTTGAATAAATAATTTCAAATATCAATAGTGGTCATTTGTTGTTACATATAAATAAATAATATGAATTCCACTTTAAGTTAAAATCTTAAAGCCATGTGTATGGTTAGTGCTTTTGCTTAGTTACCATTTGTATTACCAAACTGTTTAATAAGCTCACATGGCTTTAAACTAGTCTATGGTTAAAAAATCTAGCTGATGTTTTAGAAAAGACACTATCATACATGAATGAACCCTAACTTTTGTCACCATTACCAGTCATTTCTAAGGACACAGAATAGGCACCGTGAGAACAACCACCCCGTTTTGATATGGATTTATAAGAAATATGCATAAGCATATATATACACTCAAGGGACACATCCAACTCAAGCTATAAATTATTCATATAAATAGAAACATTGCTATCATAGTAATCCTTATTTAAATGTTTAAATGTGTACTGGATTAGCCTGGTAGCTGATAACCTGAGAACAAACAGGCCCCAAACTGTGGACAAGTGTTTACTGCATAAAATTCGCAAAATTAACCCATAAAACAATTCACCTTTAGGGAGCTCTTGCAGGTGAAAGAGATGTATGTAGGTTTGTGGTTGGCAGTTTGCAGATTTGAGTTATAGAATATCATTGGTGATACTTAAAACCACCAATTTCCTGCTTCTTTGGCCTGATTCAAGGCAAAATATCTGAATACACTTTCCTCATTAATGAAGATGACTTCCCTTTCCTCGTCAGTATCCCGTATTTCAAGCCCTGTTCATTATTGGCTCATTAACCAAAGACAGGAGAAGGCAGATTTTTCCCTTTGTCAGAAAACCTGACTGCCTTATGTTACTCATTTATTAGTATTTCTATTCCTTGCCACAGATGTTAATAGAGGATTAAAATGCAGGTTGAATAAATTACTACATGAGTTATAGTAATTCACAGCTTAAATTTAAACAAAGCATCCACATCACACCTCTTCTAATTTGAATGAGTAAAATATCATTTCTATAGAATTAGCAGAATTCTGATTTCCTCAGGCATGTCCTGAGGAATTCTAGTTTCACAAGATAATCTACTCAAAAAGAACCCCATAGAAAAAAAAAAGCATGGGAAATGTTATCCCTGAGGTAGAGACTCACAATGCACATTACCATGTCAAAGATCCCCAGAAACTCTGCAGTAAAGAAACTACTTTATCTTTGTGATCCAGTGTTTCTCAGATTTGTTTTTGCCATAAAAATCTTTTTTTTAAATAACATTTATTGTCCTGTTTAACCATTTTCTCTGGGAAAATTCTGAGATATGCGTTATTAATTATCAGTTGATAAAAATGAGGTCATTTGTAAATTACTTAAACAAACAGATGACAGTGGCAGCATTTGAGCAGTAGGACACATGGATACCTGGAACCCACCAATTTACTGCCCGTCTTGCTTCCCAAAAACGATATGATTAAATAGGTAAAACAGATGTAGAATGATCCTTTCAAAGGAAGGGATCATTTCAACCTCTAAACCATGTTCTATTTGAGAAGGAAATCTATACCTTTCCTATTTGTCAGACAACTTGAATGCTTTTAGATATTCCTAATTAAAATCTCTCCTCTTCCAAATATTAGTTGTTGAGGGTGAATCAATCATTTTCTTATTTGTTATTTATTTTATACATTTATTTTGTACATTTAAAGTTATTATTTATTTTGTACATTTAAAGTTACTTTATATTATACATAATAGCATCATTTAAGTAAGTTTGAAATAAATCTTAACTCTCACAAAGGGCAGGAAAAAACAGACAACTTGGAAATGAATGACTTGGAAAGATATATGCATGTATTTTCAATTTGTTGCCAATAATTTGCTGCTTAACTATGGGTAATAGGCACCAGCTTTGGAAAGAGAGACAAAAAAGAGCACAAAACCAAAAGTTGAACCAATAGTACAATGATGAAGAATATGCCAATGTCAGTCACCATTAGAAACACAGTATTGCTAGTTTAGTTCCCAATTTCTTTACATATCAAGGCAAACCAGAGTTCATGAAAAAACTGTACATCATAGGAGTTAAAGACAAATGTAATGATAGTGCTTGATAAGAGACAACTCCTTTTTTTTAAAAAAAAAAAAGAATCAAATAATGTTGGATCCTCATTGCATATATCTTACTGAACTTACGCATAAATTTGGAGCCTGAAAAACTTGGAACCAATATTACCAACTAGTCCTTTGCAAACTAGTGAATTATACCATTTCATACAACAAATATCAGAGTTGACCATTTTCAATAATTACAATGCCATCTTTTTTTAGAAGAACGATATCAGGAATAAAACATTTTATAATAATCTACAGTTGGGTTGCTGCTGGGGCTAAGAAAGGTTCATGGATAAATAAACGATTTGGTTGTTGTAATCACTTCACTTTCATTTTAGGGCTGTTTGGTTTCTGGTAACAGGAAACCTGTTCAGTCAAAAGAAAAATTTATAGGCTCATGTAATCAAAGAGGAAGGGCAGAGGTAGTGTTGCCCCGGGAGCAGAAGGAACCAGGAAATTAAACACCATCAAGGCCATGTTACTGCTGCCTTTTCTCTGTCTGTATATCAACTTCATTCTTTTGACTTAGTTTCTCCATTAAGATGGAAACCTGCTGCCTGCAGATCTGGGTACGTATTTATACAACTTGTTGACCAGAAAGAAAATGGCATTACCCTATAGCTCAAGTCTGAAAAATCTAGGGGAAGGCATTTCATAGGTTCAGTCTGGGTTACATGCCAATTCTGGGCCCCGTCATTGTGGATTCCATGATAAGATCGGATTGAGTCAAGTGTTCTTCCTTACTCAATCACAGAAGTCAAGGAGACAGATTCAGGTCAAAGAGACAGCTTCAAGTAAGAGAATAGCTGCTCCCATCCAAATCACATGACTGCATTTCGACTTTATGTGTGGGTGTAAGAGGAAGGTGGGGGAAAGAAAAATGATTCACCAGGGAAAAAGGGTGTTATTATGGATATTATCAATGAGAAGATTACTGGGAACCAGCAAGCCACTTTATTTATGTCCAGCAAAGACTAATAAAATCAAATCTATATAATCCAACTTATAACCTTTCCTTCCAAGCTGCTCATCTACCTGATTTGTGTTAAGAGAACCCCAGATTCTTGGTATCTCAGGACTGGCTTTTTCTCTCCAAAAGAAGTAATGACACCTTCCTCTCCCCTTCATGATTTCCTTCCTCTGCTGGCACGTCTAAGCAGCCTGCTCACTCCCACCCCACCTTCTGTGTTTCATGAAGTCTTAGTAGGGCATTTTAGAAGGGAACCTCATCCTTAAAATTAAGAGAAGATCCCAGTTCCTTCTTATTCAACCAGTTACACTGGAGTTGCAAAAAGGAGGATCAATATAAAAAGAAAAAGGGAAAAGAACAGAGAAAGAGCCATTCTTTCGAAGTTTTGCTCCTCTAATTGCTACCCATTCCTATGGACCCCTCTACCATCCATCTACTCTGTTGTTTGTCTTTGACAACCAGTGAGAGACTCTCTCTAGAAGGAGTACCTTAGGGAGGGAGAACATTGCACTCTATAATTCTATTAGTAACATGGTGCTTTTAACACATTACAGTCCCCATAGAGTGTATAATTCAGTGGAGGAGCAAGGGGGCAGGGCAATCTCAGCGAAAAGCACAGCAAAATACCACTGTTCTGGAAGAACTGCGGTGGTAAATGAAAAGCTTGAGTGAGAGTAACAAGTAGTAGGTTATACCTGTCCCTCTCTCAATATTCTCTTGGTGTTCTCACCATTTCTTTTAGTTAAGTGTATAGAAAAATGTACATGTGGTTATGCTATGGTGAGGTGAGAGTATACACAGGTATGATAACTCATCCCAGAGGTCTCTGAACCTGAGTGAGAGAGCATCAGTAACTGTTAAATTTGCTCTGCAAATAAGAGATCTAAAGGGATGAGGGCACAGGAATGGGATGGAAAACACACACATGGTGCAACTTCTTCACTAATTTAGGCAACCTGCTCTCTGGAAAATGACCTGTTAAGCCAAGATTTTTCTCCATGGCCCAGGCTGACCAAAGATGCCTTTTAGTCTTCAGGGAGTTATCCTGTTATTTTTTCAGAGTTTGAGAAGGCTTATCAGGAGTTAGGCATACATGACCTTATTCCCTGATCTCTCCTCCCTGATTTTCTCAGGGGAATACTTCTGAATCTTAGAGATGTGGAAAAAAAGGACACTTTCTCCTTTACTCTCTTCACACATACGGTATTTCACAATTCAGCTACAGGGGGCCCTCTGGAATTCTTTGTCTCTCAATGATCAACAAGAGGCCAATGTGAGTGCTTTAACCTTAAACACTGGTCTCATTTGAATCTGACAGAAAAATCTAAGAGTGGACTTCACCCTATCACCATATTTTGGATCTAGACTCAAAACTAATACTTCCATCCTTATGACATTGAAACCATTTAATTTGATTGTCATCTGTATAATATATTCATTTCATTAAGGTAACTACTAAGGTAACAATTTTTAATATCAAATAACTCTAGTTGGTATTCAAATTTCGCCAATTGTCTCATAAATCTTTTTTATTTAAGTTGGTTTGAATCAGGATCAAACAAGGAACACACATTGAATTTGGTTACTATGTATTTTAAGACTTTAATATATATATATATATATAAAACATATATATATATATGTTTCCCTTTTATCATTTTTTTTGGCTTGTTATTAATGTATGTGAAAAAATAGGTATTTTTATAGAATATCTATTGTCTGATAGATTTTTCCACATTCTGGATTTGAAGACTTTATCCTGGTAGTAGTATTTAATACATTTTTCTGTTTACTATAAAAAGTCATATCTACAGACTTGACCAGATATAAGTTAGGTTTGATTTGGGGAAGCAAGAAGACTTGATAGGTAGTGGTATGTCCTTCGTAACAGCATCATATGAGGAAGCCCACGATGTCTCTAGTTGTCTATCTTTCTGTGATTTTAAGAACAATCAGTGAGTTCAGTGTTGTCAGTCTG